CGCCACCAATGTCATAGAAAGAACAGGGAGCAAATTCAAAAAATGGGGAACCCAGAAAAAACTGAAAGTTGAAGAACACCGACCAAAGACCCATGAACTCAGCCAACACCAACGGCAAAACAACTTGCAAATCATTACCCAAGAAAGAAACCAAGAATCTATGGTTCCCCAAACCCTAACAGAGCAAGAGCAGGAATCACCATTATATATATATATATATATATATATCCTAAATTTTTATTTTTATATTTATAACACTTTGCTGAATAAAAAAATGTCTAGGAAGCACCCCCAAGAAATATAATGTCACCGAAAAAAAATACAAAATGAAAGACATTTAAGAATAATTAGTTTATGAGGAGATTATTTTGTTATATTATATGTGTCACGTGTATTAAATGACAAGTGGAATTGTACAATCAGTATGGGTCCCGGCGATCGGTGGGTGCACATTTGATCGTTTACCCTTGGTCCGTCTCGTTGGCTTTTAGTGGATCGTCACCCCTTGGTTCAACCGGCCAACCTTAGGCCTATCATCACCCTTAGGTTTGGCTTCAAAAGGCTTTTTTTGTTCTAGAGTTTGTCAACTGGTTGGATTGCCTCAAGATTCATGCCGACATATTTTTCTTATGCACGCTTGATATTGAAAACCTATCTATTAAAAAACATACTTCACGTTGAAAAGTCACTGAGGATAATATTTTTAATGTGATGTCAAATATTTGAGTCTTTTGTATGTAAACATGAAAGTTTACATATTAGATATGTAAATATATAAAAACTGTGTGGCATGCATGTAAATGCCCGAATATTTTATTATTTGTATTAAAAAAAAACACTAATAATAATAATATTCATATTATTATTATTTTTTTTTATTTTTTGATAAAATAGGCGCTTGAACTCTTAACACTTAATCCTGACAAAATAAGTACTCAAATTCAACACTTTAATATTTTTTTATTTATTTTCAGCAAATATGTAGGTGCACAAAGACAAACAAAATAGCTCTTAAATTAAAAGCATTAGTCATTTATTTGGATTGTCGCAAAATTAATTATTGCATTAAAAATTATATAATTCTCTGAATTTTCGTCGGACAATTTCTCAATCACCCATCAGTACATTAAAAGCCATTTAATTGGCACACCTTTCGCCATCCACGTCTCTATACAATAATAATATTATTTTTGTGTGTGTGTATATATATATATATATATATATATATATATATATATTGTCAGGTATCCCAGTTTGTTCATCCACGATATAAGATCACTTAGATCGGGGGTTCGAATCCCCTTTGGCACATTTTGCATTAAAGAGGTGGTACTTGAATTGTTGGGCACATTAGTTGTGGTTGGAGACTCGTATAATAGTCTATGGTTATTCCTTAAAAAAATAAATAAAAATAATATATACATAATTTTCTTATTAAATCAATTAATTAAAATTATTAAAACTTACCTTTAAATCTCGATCAAGAGCCCTGATTCACTCAAAAAATCTCATCTTCCGCATCTACACATGAGATTCGTCTCTAACCAGCACGCATGAGAGTTGTTTGACGCCTCTTCCTTTGGCTTTATCGTCCTCATCGAGTCCTAGCGTCTTGCCTCCTTAGCTCGTCGACGTCGGAGGCCTCGACGTTCTAATTGGAATCAAATCTCTTTAAGATACCATTTGACTTCTTATTTTTCTCTGGCTCTCAATCTTGCCGCCATCTCCCTTCAATCGCGTTGCTTTATAGGACAAAAATAACTTCTCCGATGTATCCAAATTTTTCCTGTAGACATTAACCAAGACATAGAGCATAGAGATTGAGTGAGAGGAAAAGAGTGAAAGAGAAAGGAGTGACATAATGATTGCTTTCAGCCGGGCAAAGTGGGGGTGTCCCACGCTATCGAACCCATTTTATATATTGAAAGAAATTGTTACAAGAGAAGGGAAACATGATGTTCAAATAACTTAAAGACCCAAATGGCCTCATTCCCTTTACATGAAAAAGATCATCCTATTTATAGATCATATGGGGATCTACAAAATTATAATATCACCCCTGAGAGTTAAAAGTCATTATGCACATGTAAGTTACATGTCATTATAATCATGGGAGTAATTGGTTTTCATTAGCACCTTTTCATTGCTAGATCAATCCGATCATGTGGCCAGTAAATCGGCTGGATTGACCGACCGAATAAAACGTTAGACTGATCTCTTATACCATTAACATTTTTCAGACAAACACTTTCGTTTCCCTACCCATTGGCTTCCTCTCTCTATCTTCAGCCCCTTCGAGCATATTAAACTAAGTGTCATACGAAATATTGGGAGTCTACTTTTTTAAGGCTTGCCAGCCCTTTCTCTTGGGGATGTTACTCTCTTCCTCGAGCTAACGGCTCTCAGATGATATCCAACATTTGATTCTTTAGCTCCAGGATATGTCGGTTCACAAACCTTTTTATGCACTACATAGTACATATGTCTCTATTGTGAGCTTCATCTTTGGGTGCTACTTTCTTTTGTATATGACATGATCTACACTCACCTCATCTTTTAAGATGTTGAATCATGATTTATTTGTGAATTACAACCCAAGAAACATAAGTCAGGATATAGATAGATATAGATAGAGAGAGAGAGAGAGAAAAAGAAATGAACAATAATTAATAGTAATAAAGTGTGTATTATTCATGCAATGATCTCCCTATTTATATGGAAGAGTATATGGTGATGTTATATTTTTGGCCCTCGTTTAATGGGAGTTGTATATGATATTCTAGATAGTTTACATATATGAATCTAATGCTCGGTGGTTATCTAGCTCGATTAAATGAGCTAGTATGTCTTTGGCTCGACAGAGTTGGTTTAATCGACCATGCTTAGTTGTTGCGTCGATCAGCTAAGCTAGATTGGTCTTTGGTTAGCATAACTGATTCGGTTGGCTAGTCTTAGTCGGTGTTGTCGATTGAATGATCAAATCTTGTTGTCGACCGTCGAACCCAGCTGAGGAACACACATTGGCATAGCGAAGCTAGACTATTGAGCAAAGAGTGAATCACTATAACTTGATAGATGACTCGCTATTCAACAAGGAGAGCCTATGGATGACTATTAGAATATTTGTTGTATTGTTAATTCTTGATCTCTGATGAGGAGTTTTTGAGCATCCATGGGGTGGTTGGAGATATAGACAAACTACATCTTTCCTTAGATCAGATCCACCAAAAGGTAAATTACTACCTTCAATCGACTTTCTTGTAGTGGTTGCCTTGAATATCACGTTTATGATCGAGTGACTCAGATTTGGATCCTTCGGTAGTCTTTGTGACATGGTCAACTTTTGGTCCTACTTGATTCGGCTCGAACTTCATCCGATTGGAAAAGTAAGCCTCTTGTTATTTTGTTAGTGGACCTTCCTTTGTCGTACTCTCTTCCTTCTAGACAAATAGATCTTTTCAGGATCAGTGCTTGTACATTTTGATGTACACCACATAAATGTAAAATACATTTTAAAGCACTAGAAATACCCTCAATTTTCTTGTACTTAAACATTATACAAAGTGATTAATTTCAAAGCTCGTGTTCCAATAAGCCAGCCGAACAAGAACATATTACACATGAACAAATTCCACCC